TCGAAAGATCTCATAGGGTCAAGACAGTTTTGCGTGTGCATGTGGCTGCTGCGTCATGTTTCTCTCTGTTTGCGTCACACGGATGAGTGACATAATCTTCCGAATCCCGCGGATAACTCCCATCGCAGCCGATAGTGCATTGTCACGGTGCACAAGGTGGTCAGCGAGACAAGTCGGGGAATACAAGCTGAAAGCCCGAGGCGGCTATAACCTAGATGTCTCAGCCATCTATGTCAAGTGCTTCTCGCTTTGGAAAAGGTATTTGAACGCGAATTCCCGACGGTTTACTTGTCCGAGGACTCGACAGCGGTCTTTTACTCTGCAGCTTCTAAACGATTTACCAAGCCCTTGCCATATATCATGAAAAAGCACACGCAAGACCAGACGCATCAACCAACCTCGACAACCTTCTCTGACTCGAAGGGATCCGAGTATGGGAAGCGTCTGGTTATCCATGTTCTTGATCAGTATGCTCAAAATGAACCGGACAGACCTTACGCGTATCTCCCCCTTTCCAGCGATCCGAAAGACGGATGGGAAGTGGTCACGTTCAAACAGCTTGCCAACGCCGTCAACTTTGTAGGCCACGAACTGGTTCGGGGACTGGCCGACCACGGAAATCAAAGTGAGGACTTCCCCACGGTTGCGTACATCGGCCCTGGAGATATTCGCTACGTCGTATTCATGTTGGCCTGTATCAGAGCCCGACACAAGGCTTTCTTCCCGTCGCCTCGGAATAGCCTCGAGGGCCAAATATCTCTCCTCAAAGCAACCAATTGCAGCACTATATACTTTGCCGAGGGCTATTCGGAGACAATTCTACCGTGGTTGGAAAGGCACCCAATGCGTATTGTTCAAGCTGCGGCCCCCCAAGTCTGGCTTGAGTCGGAAACCGTTCCATTGCCCTACCATCGGTCGTACGAGGACGGTAGATGGGATCCCCAGGTGGTACTGCATACCAGCGGCAGCACCGGGATCCCAAAGCCTGTTGTCGTGCGGCAAGGGAGTTTCGCTGTTTTTGATGGCCTCCGAAACGGTCCTGAATTCCACGGCACTCTTAGTTCTTTGGTTCACTTATGCATGGCCGAGAAGATTTTTGCTCCGGTGCCTCAGTTCCACGCCGCTGGTGTTGCTCTGGCGATAAACGCGGGCATCTTTTACGGCAGTGCTTTGGTGTACGGCGTTCCAGATAGACCATTGAGTGCCGACCTGGCGACTCGAAGCTTGGTACACTCTGGTGCGGATGCGGCATTTCTCCCGCCGTCTATTCTGGAAGAAATGAGCCGGACGGAGGCGGGTATTTCTGCCTTGGCCAGCCTTGACATTGTGGCATTCGGTGGAGGTGAGTCCCCAAAACAATCTTCCGTGATGGAGGCATCTTTTCTCACGTACAACCTTGATCTTAGGGAATCTTGCCCCAGCGGTTGGGGACATGCTCGTTGAGAGTGGTGTTGTTTTGAGCAACTTGATCGCCGCTACCGAGTAAGTTGTCTCGTTAAACTTGCCTGCCTGTCCCTCTGGGGACTAATACCGGAGCAGATGCCTCCCATATACGATCCATTTCCAATCCAACCTCAAGCTGTGGCAGTACTTTATTATACATGAAAAAGACATGGGCGCCGAGTTCAGGCCAGTCGAGTGGAATCCTGAAGCTTACGAAATGGTTCTCTGCAATGACGACGCAAAGAATCCCGGACGCAAGGCGTTTTTTTGCAACTTCCCCGAAAAGACCGAGTGGCGGACCGGCGACCTTTATGAGCCACATCCAACGCTGCCCAACCATTGGAAATATATTGGAAGAGCCGATAATATTATTGTATTTTCTAACGGCGAGAAGTTGAACCCAGTTACTATAGAGGACGCGGTTCAAGGCCACAAGGCTGTCAAGGGAGCCATCGTGGTCGGGCATCAAAGATTCCAGCCTGCGCTCATTGTAGAACCAATCGAGCCTCCCGCGGACAATGTGGCAGCAGAAGCTCTCCTCCAAGACGTGTGGTCCCTTGTCCAGGAAGTAAACAAAGCCACCGTGGCTCATGGGCGCATTTCTCGCGACATGATTGTACTTTCGGATCCGGCTATCCCATTCTCGCGAGCGCCGAAGGGGACTGTTCAGCGAAACCCAACCACAAAAGCCTATGTGAATTTTATTGACGAACTATATCAAAAAGTCGAAGAGGGCTCTTCTTCACAAGATGCGGTCCATTTGGACCTGACCAGCGAAAGCACCCTGGCCCAATCGATTATAGACGTCTTGACGCACCAATTCGGCAATCCCAACGTCGGTTTAGACAGCGATCTCTTCAGCGTAGGCGTGGACTCTCTTCAAGTTCTCCGATTATCAAAGCTGCTTCGCCTCAGCTTAGGAGCCGCGGGCATCGCTCTGGACCAGAATACAATCGCTCCACGAGTCATCTATGCGAACCCGACCCCGAAGGCCCTGGCCGCGAGGCTTTTCAAAATTTCGACCGGCAAGGATTCGCAAAATAACGAACCCGTCGACGAGGTAGAAGCCCTAGCGGACATGGTTTTGAAATACACGGCCGATCTTCCGGCACCAAATTTGAATCAGGCCCAGCCCGCCGACGACGCGCAAACAGTCTTGATAACAGGGACGACCGGATCACTGGGAGCCTACATTCTCGACCGGCTGATTTCAAGCCCGAGAGTCGGCAAGGTATTCGCTCTGAACAGAGGCAACGACGGCGGCCAATCGCGCCAACTGGCCTTCAACGCAGCCAGAGGCCTATCCGGGGACTTTTCCAAAGTCGAGTTCCTCGGCGTCGATTTATCCCGGCAGGGCTGGGCTCTCGCTCCCGCCAAGTACGAGGAGCTTCTCGTAAACGCAGATCGCATCATTCACAACGCGTGGCCCGTCAACTTTGTCATTAGCGTGTCGTCGTTCGAGCCGCATGTCCAGGGGGTGCGTCGCCTGGTTGATTTCTGCAACGAGGCCGCCAAGCGCGTGCCCATCGTGTTCGTCTCCAGCGTAAGTACCGCCGCTTGCTGGGCGGCAGAGGAGCCCGTGCCGGAGCGTCAGCTACGAGACTTGGCTCTGGCGCAAATGGGCTACGGCCGGTCCAAGCTGGCCGGCAGTCTGGTTCTAGATGCCGCGGCGGAGAGATCAGGGGTTCCGGCGGCGAGTATTCGAGTGGGACAGATTGGAGGCCCCCGGGGCGAATTGGGCATGTGGAATAAACAGGAGTACATACCTAGCTTGGTGGCCAGCTCGATTCATCTGGGTATGCTTCCTGATACCATCGGTCCGTCTGACGTTGACTGGATTCCGGTGGATGATATTGCGGGACTCGTGGTAGATGTTGGCGGCATATCCGGACAAAAGGCCGTGTCTGACATTTCGGGATATTTCCACGGGGTCAACCCGCATAAGACGACATGGAATGACGTAGCTCGGGTGGTGAAGGAGTTTTACCGTGAGCGAATTCGGGAGATTGTTCCGCTGGAGAATTGGGTCTCTGCGCTGGAACGGAGCGCGGAGAAGGATGGCGCGGAGGATAATCCTGGGATCAAGCTTCTTGATACCTACCGAGGCATGGTTGCTGCGAATAGGGCTGGAAATCGGCCGGTGGCTTTTGACATGAGGAGGACCGTACAGCATAGTGCTACGATGAGGAATTTGGGTCCTATAACTGAGGAGCTCGTGAGGAATTGGTGCAAACAGTGGAAGTTTTAGGGTTGCAATGGTCTCTTATGGGGTGTTTATTAACTTGACAGGTAAAGATTGCCAGAGACGGGATGTTTGGTCGTCAATCCGGACAGGTGGAATTATCACGAATGACACTATATGCCAACTTGCTTAACATGAGGGTTGAAAAGCGGATGTGTAATTTCAAAAGCCGAACTGAAGTTCCTTCATGAGACCGCTTTGAATAGATAGCATCATTCTCTAAGCTACTGGAGTTTTGCATGATGAAGTATCTGGTTGCCGCCGCGCATAGGTGTCCTTACAGACAGTATCAATGGCATACACGTCGAGGCTGTAAGGCTCCCAGTGACAACACATTGTTCAAGGTATGTGAAGCATGCTCGCATTCGTCCCACATGGGCATGGACACATACGCGGACAAGTCTAGTCTGAGACAACACGAGGTCATGCAGCTACTAGCTAGACTGCCAACCTGGCTTGAGCCGTGTTAACTGGGACCAGCGTCAAGATTCGTCGTGGCTATTCGCATTATGCATACAGCCTTTTGCATAAGCCTAACGTGTTGGTTCTCTGGTGTCCGCGTGTAGCAAGCTGCTCCGCCACAACGACTTGTGTCCGTTGTAAGTGGTGAACTTCCCGTTCTGGACACAAGTTCACGATCTGGCCCCACATATATCAAGTTGAAGGCCGAGGCAAGGATCCCGATTGGCTATCGGGCGGGTTGACGCGTGGCCAAGACGGGCTATGAAGTCATGGCCCTTGTTGGATGGTATCAGGTGGACGGACAATGGCCTTTGCGATTTTTTGGTAATTTATGTGTCAAGATGATTTAACGAATTGTGGACGATTGTACTGTGCCGAATGTGACTCTTGTGCCTATTTCCGGGCAATCAGCAAGTGCCATGTTAGGTGGTTTAATTATTGTCAAATAGTCAAATTCAAAGTCGCCGCGTAGCAAGAAAATAAGTGAAAACCAGCCGAAAATGTTTAAAGCCATAGCCTTAACTGGAGGTTTCATCAGCGGAGCCAAAGATCCCCCCTTAAAGCCCTAGTGAAAGTCATGAATCGAGTTCCCGTTGTTTGGAGTCCGACCAACGAGTTCCTTGTTGGCGTAGTACGGCGCAACGGGAACAAAGGCCAGTCAGCATTCGTCATGGCTGAGACGTGTCCGTGCAAGTAGACGTGACACAGGAATTTCGACCCGTGACGACAAGCTGCTCTCCATGTCTACAGGACACCAGACCATATATGTCGAGGAAGAGCCTCCCAGGCAAGGCTGCTGGTGCAGACTTGGGCCACTCGACCAGCAACGCTCTTTTGAAAGGCCATTACTAGAATGTTGGTTAGAAACAACCTCAAGAATCGGTTTATTCTATTTTTATTCCTTTGCGTCGCTGTTGTCTGTTTTTCCGTTTCCACGCTGCGCGGTTTTTGGGCTGGCGAGGTTATTCTCCAACGCAACCTTCTTCCTCTCACCGAGGCATCCATCGTCCAGCATGACAACGCCTTACACCCCGGCCCTTCCATCGAGAGAATACCCAGAATTATTCATCAAATATACAAGAACAGGACAATACCCGAAAAGTGGTCCGAGGCCTACCGTTCGTGTCGCGAGCAAAATCCTCCCGGAAACTGGACTCATGTCCTTTGGACGGATGAAAAAGGACGAGATTTTATAAGATCTCTTTACTCCTGGTTTCTACCCATATACGACAGCTATCCCTACAATGTCCAACGGTTCGATGCCCTTCGGTACCTGCTACTTCACCATTACGGCGGGATATATCTCGATCTGGATGTAGGCTGCAAAAAGGACCTCTCGCCCCTTTTGAAATATCCTGCCTTCTTTGGCAAGACAACTCCATACGGGGTTAGCAATGACGTCATGGGCTCTGAGAAGGGTCATGAGCTCTTTCGCCAACTCGTTCTCTCACTCGAGCGGAATAATTATTACCGCGGAACAAAGTATCCGACGGTCATGATGTCTACCGGCCCAATGTTCGTGACACGCGTTCTGGTAGACTTTCTGAGGGCCAGCAGCCACAACACGACGGCGGAAGTTTCTGAAGACGTGAGAGACTTGCATGTGGCTATTCTTCCGCCAGAGCTATATGGGATGTCTCCCGTCTCGTACTTTGAGCATCACCCTGGTTCGTCGTGGCATGGCTGGGACGTTTGGGTCTTGAGCAATATAAGCAATCGGCCAATTCTGTTTCTTTGCAGCGGTTCACTCACCTTGGTTGGAATATTATGTCTTGTTAGAAGAAGGCGGAGAATAGTGGTTTGATTTGAGCTGATTGATGACTACTTGTTACAGCGAATATACCTGAATACCAAATACAATGCAATTCTTTCGTTCTTTCTTCCTTTTCAAGTTTTTACAGTTTCTAGCGGAATAAATCATGTTAGTACATTATCTTTTGTAGGAATATAGACTCTGAATCCCGCGCTCCATTACGCAGAATATAAGGGTGCCCTGCTGGACAAGTGGCAGCTAGCTTGAATATCAAGTTGGACTATTTTATATTAGCTAGGGGCGCAGTACTAATGCGTTTAATGGAGCAGTCAAGAGTTTGATGTCAAGAGTTTGATCGAAAGGCTTCCCCTAACCACAGCAATACTTTGATTGGTCTTCATCCAATATAAAAATAAGTAAAGGCTAACGAATATCGTAGGATCCGTGCACATATGAGGCTAGCTCACTGCTACAAGTCTGGTACGCCCGTGCTGTCACTTGCAAGGAACAAAGGGGTAAACAAGAATCGTAGTTGCCTTGTAAACTAGCATTACTCCAAGTGTACTATCCGCTCACGAGACTTGCCCTTCTTCTTGTCCTTCTTTTTATCCTTCTTCTCCTTGGCAGCCTCCAAAGTATCGTTCAGCCCTGGTATAATGTCCAAGGGCGTGCTGCCCTGCAGTCCATCGCACGGCTTCAAGTCGGCCGCATACCTTGTATGGTCGGTAAAATTGCAACCAGAGAGTAAAATTCCCTTGGACAGCTTGGCACATGACGCACTCGTGCAGTCCTTTTCACCACTACACACCTGTCGGCTCGTCGTGTATAACCCCTGCGGCCCCTCAACGCCGTCTGCGAACCAGAATTCGGGAGAAATGTGCTTATACGTCTTTGGGGAGAGGGGATTCTTGGGGATCGCCGTGACGGGATCTCTGGCGTTTGTGATGCGCGCCGTGAAGCCACCCCCCTGCGAGGACACGAATTTGGCAAACTTGTCGTTGCCGACCAGCGGCGAGCCATAGAGATACATGTCGAGGGCCATGCCTTGCTTGCGGAGAGATGAGCCGGCTATAGTCGCTACACCGGCGCCGAGAGAATGGCCAGTTACGACAAGACGCCAGTTTTCTTGGCCCGGAACTGCTTTTTCTGTCTTGATCGTTTGCTCAAGCTGACCTTGAATCTCATTAAACGCGCGGCCGAAGCCTTTGTGGACTTTGCATCCTTCACAAAGATCACTGGCCTGGCATTAGCTTCAGTCGATATGATGGGGTAATGTTAGACATTACCTATCAATCTGGTCTATGGCCGCATCCGTTGCAATGTCACCGGCAGAATCAGTTCCCTTGAAAACCACGGCGATATGCTGCTGGCCCGGGTTTTTCGCGACAAACCCACCAATTTGAAATCGGTCGTTGGCAGCAAATTCTGCAACTGTAGTGGCGTTTTCAAAGTTTGGACATGGCGTTTTATCTGAATTGGTGCAGACGGGTGTATTGAGAGATGTGTCGTGTAGCTGCTTGCAGTACGACGAGAAGGAATACTGCGCGAACAGCGCGAACTGCTCGGGGGAGTCCAAGACTCCGGATACTGTCAACATTAGCGAATTGCCACGTGTGCAACTTTTGAAAATGGACGGCTTGTATCTGCACACCTTGACGAGTAGCAATGGTGCGGCCCGCGGCCCCCTGGGCTGCGGCAAGAGCCGAGACTATGAACTCTGGACGCATTTTACCGTCTCAGTGATGCTTGGCACCATAACAAAGAGGATAATGAGACTTATAATATAGTTTTTGGCAAGTCTGGAAGTCCCAGGAATTTATGGAACTTGACGTCTTGAGAAGTTGCTGATTTTCACGTGCTTCAATCCTGTTTCAGAATGCGGGAGTAGACGTTGCCGCTCTCGCATCCCACTAGATTCCCGAGTAGAGTGAGTGGGATGCGTATTCGACTCATGACAATACTCTGAGACTGCCCCATCCCCGAAAATAGAAGCTAATTGTGGCTCAGCCTCAATAGTCGCGGGATAAATTGTATCATGGCCGTAACCCGAATGAGGGATCAACTCTACTATAAGCTCTACGGGACACAGGTAGTCTAACGCCATCAGCCTTACAGAAATGAAATTCCATCTGAACCCTTGAGCATCATATTACATGTTAGAATTACTAACCCCCGACCAACGTTCTCCTACGCCACACTCTGTTACCTCTTTGAAGCATTTGAAGCCATTTGGAGCAACGCTCTAGTTGGCTACGGGTATCAATTGCTACGAATGTGCTAATCAACACGCTCATCGTGTCTAGTGTAAATAATAATAGATTGCAGTCATTGTGTCGGAGAGTCACTCTGGAGATTATTTGTTAAGAATTTATTCCGGCGGGAACTTGAGTCTCGGAGCAACTTCCCAATCGGGAAAATACAATACGCCCAAAGGGTGCTTATCGACTCCGACCACAAAACACACAATCATGGGCGAGTATGATCGTCTTGGCTTGTCTGATGCATCGGAGGCTCGGAGACCCTGTCAAGGCAACAGAGAAAGTAACCAGTCGCCATGTCGAGATCCAAGCCCACGTTGTAAGTGGCATTGCAAAGGAAAGAAATGCCGATACGGTATATACGCGGAAAGATTTACGTCACTCTTGGGCACATTTTCCGCCATGGGAATCCCCAAGATCATCAACCGCCTTGATTCAGCTTTATATGAGAGAAATATCGCGCATATCGTCAAGTGGTTCGAGGCTATAAGGCTGTACGTATAGCCTGGCTTAAGATGGAGCGTTTCCTATTCTCTCTGAATATCGCGTCAAAACCGAGAAAGGTTTGCAAGCACGCGAAAGCAATTTCCCGGAATTCGGAGCTCTCAAAGCAGACACACTGCAAATCGTCCCAAGCGTCCTTCAGACTATCGGCCGATCTTGCCTCGCGTCTGCGGAACAAATGCCGAGTTCTGTTTGATCGACACTGAGAAACATGAACGTCTCTAATTTCTTGCCGAGGCGGTCAAAGAGTCGCCAGATAGACATGATACTTGGCTGTCTACGGCTATCGTAATAGAGTCGGATTGGTTGATGGGGGCTGCATTGCAAGCTGAGGACAGGTTTCGCCATCTGCGGAAGAAGCGTTAACAAGGGCTTGAGACGCTCGGCCCTCACTTCGACTGCCGCGCGTCTCTCTCTCTCTACTTGGAAGGCGGTGCTCTGAGTAAATGGCTAGTTATATCGCATTTTAAACTCACAAACAGGTCTTCACATCTATGACAGCTACGACATCGTTGGCGCCTTTCGTCCTTTTACTATCGACAATATATCACAAAAAGAACATGCTCTAGTTGCGAAGCAGTTATACCGCCTTATATTCCGTTGAAACCGTTACACGGAAAGTGCTCAACAGATCGTGAGGCCCGACAAAGGGGCCTCACCAATATAGGACGTATTTATTACATAACCTGAACACGTGCCCGGGTAAGAGCCCTAGGCCCGGGCGTTCCTTTCATGTATATATATAGTGGTTACTAATCCCTCTCTTCCTCTTAGAAAACTAGGGACCTTTGACACTCTTTGATATTATCTTTGAATTTGAACCTTTACGTTCCGAGCCTTGTTAAGCCCTCGTCACAGAAACAGTGGTTCCAACACGTTGGTAAATTTCAAAGAAACCAAAAGTTCCATCCCTCTTCGGATTATAGCGTTGATGAACTCGACCATTGCATGCTGACCCTGAGCTTCTCAAATAGCATTTACAGAAAGGGCCTGTATTCGCGGCTGATATTCGAAAGTCACGAAACAGATTGCCTGCGTAAAGACTGAGATTCATGGGAGAACTGTTACTCTAATAGATACGCCTCTATTCGACGACACAAGCATGTCATATGGAGATGTTCCGTGTCTTATCTCCGAGTGGTTAAACGAGACCTTGCAGCATGGCATATATATCATTTACCGGTATTTGCTTCAGCCCGTGGACATCAACAGAGCTTTCGGAAGCGAAGCAAATCGGACACGGCTCTTTGAAAAAATATGCGGCATTTTCCTGGTCGCCTTCTTGGCTATGACAAGGCTTCCAACAGATAATAGCATAGAGACCACCTAGGCACTCTCCAGCACCCATACTTCTGACGCTTTCAAGTGTACTATATGCCGTAGAATCTGAGACAGATTTTTCGGCTTCTGACGATGGAGGGACTTGCCCGACGTTATGCGGGATGGCGCCATGGGCCAGTTGACATCTATCTTACGACATCCCCAGGTCGAGTAGCTGCATATTTCTGCCCGGTTCTTGGCGGGTGAATCAAGTTGTGGACGTTGACTGATCTCTCCAGATGTTCCATCTACCTGCAGTAAGCCACCAACTGCTATTACCAACGAATATGACTCGTGGCGGAGCTTCCTTCTGTCCTGGCCCAATGGGACGTTTGGAATTTCAGCTCGAACGATTGACCGACCAATAGGCAACAAAACGTTGCCTGCTCCGGTATGTCATCACCTCCATGCATGCAGCCGGAAGTTTACGGCGCAAAAGACCAGTCAACAGGGGCCACTGGCAAAAGGCGGAAAGACTATTCCAAAATCCCCGCTTAATCTTTCTCTCGTCTTTCTATCCGAGTGGTTACTAACCAAGAGCTTATGACCACAGGTCGGATGGCTGCCATGTTGTCCTCTACGATGGAATGTACTAGAGGGCAGGCAATTCCTGCATGAAGAGGAGGATAAGGAGGCATGAATGGCAAACCGCCCCTCGAGCAATCTTCGTGTACCTCCAACGACCTCGCCGCTGCGGTGGAAAACCGATGTTGCCATCTTATCGTATCTATCTAGCAAAACGGATATATCCCTCCGCCGCCTCCAATGCACCTTTGAATAACTGAATACGTCCTGACGTTGCTTGCGTGGGAGTGGAGAGGTCTGAATCGACGTCGAGCTTCTTCAGAGTAGATGGATGTTTATTATACTACCATGAGGTCAGTCAATATTTAGGACTGGGAATCCTGTTCAGCCACCATCAGAGCAGTGTCGAGACTTGCTAGCCACCAACAGTATCAGCCTCACCATTCTCCCGTAGATAGTGTCACACAGATGTTACGAGGACAATGGTCATGATACCCCAGGGCTCACCGCCACTGTATTATATCGGCATAAATCAGACCCTTGGGCCTTTGGTCCCGGTGGGCCAAACTGCAATATCCGGATAGCTAGCTACCTCTATCCTTGCAGGGCAACTTCAGACGTTGGCACGTTACCTTGCACAAACTTTGTTCCCCAGATTTTCCCCTTCAGCCTCGTCTCAGGCTTCTTCAAAGAGATTGCCAAGGCCAGCAACCCCGGCGCAAGCAACGTGAGGGCAGGGGTGCGATGCGACCAACTTTTAATCTAGCCGGTCCAAAACGAAGCCACACAACGCCACCCAAGTCCCTCTTGTTGGTGAATCATACGATTTTTCCAGCGACTACTCCTCCTCATTGGAAAAGACGGCGTCGCATTCTCTGCTCGCAGTTGTACATACCACCTTCTGCCCACGGCTATACGAACACCAGTGCCTGGCTGGTTTTCATTTTTTTTCCATACGGCTCTTCACCGCAAGGGACAACAGACGACGGGGCTTCGGCGAGGCGCAACCAGCTCACAAGACGCGGTCATGAATATCAACTCGGCCTTGGCATCCAACGACGACGGACTCAACTCGCAAGAAGTGCCAGCCACCACGACGCCACCAGCACGGGAAGCGCCAATTCCTTGAAACTCCATCAACTCGGCTGCTCTGCACCCAGTTTCGAGGCGCGCTGCTCCGCGATATCTCAGCCGCACTTGACGTCCACCACAGTCGGGTGTCGCCGCCTATCGATCCTTTTGGCATAAAATCATGCTTAGTTCAGCCACGCGCCTAAATGTGAATCCTCGCTGTTTGAAGCGCGTCTCAAGCCGTGAGGATATGGAAGAGGAAATGCGTCATCAGGAGCTTCTTGGCTAACAAGAAGCCAAAGTGTTTCGACTACTGCGAAGCTCCGGCGAATGGAAACTCCATGTATTCACCATCTACCATGACTACGAACAATGTCGAGTCTCAATTGACTTTTGCGTCGGGTGAAGTCGCGGATAAAATAGTTTCCTCGGTTTCTAAATTAAGAAGGTGTATTCAACGAGATGCTTGGAAGTCCCCTCTCAGCGCCATCGTCAAGGTTCAATATATCTGCAGCCCTCTCGGCTGTACTCCTCTTCCAGCGCTCACTCATGACTTATTCTATTTCATAGGGGCCGGTCCTCTTTTTATTGTATTTCCTTCTGTCGCTTTATGAGCCTTTGTTCAAGTCCTTTTTTTTATACATAAGATTTAATCATGCTATCTTCCAATGTCTACTGGCCATTCTTGGCCGTCTACTTCACGCAAGCATCCGCCTCATGCGCCTACGGGACGATTCTACAGCCCAGGGAGGAGGGAGGTGCTGTCAAAGTAAACACGTTTGGCTACATTGGTATGAAGGTATACACTCCCCTCTTCTACACGTTCTATTTCGCCACCCTAGCGTCATGACCTGTGTTTGCCAAACCATCAAGTGCAAGAGGTTGATGGATTACATGTGTGCATTCAGGGTCCAACCAACTGGATGGCTCTCGACCCGGGAGCAAATTCTCTCTGCGCAAACGGGACGAGTCAATCCCCCGTCGACATGGTGCCCGGCTCCTTCAGCATGATCCCGGGCGCCGAGTTGGGCCTCGACATTCCCGATATGCCCGAGGGGACTGAATTTGAAAATCTCGGAACCACGGTCGAAGTAGTTGCCAAGGGCGGCAACATGTCCTTCGACGGGGTTCAGTACAAGCTCCAGCAGTTTCATTTTCACCTGCCAAGTGAGCACCTAGACAACGGGACCAGCATGGCCATGGAAATCCACATGGTCTGGCAGGGGGAAGCCGAGCAGGTTGCGGTTGTCGGTGTCTTTGTGGATCTCGACGAGGGCCCGGGTCGGGCAGCGAAAAGCACGGCCAAGACTAGGATTGGTGGTGGCCGGCTTCCCGCGATGAAGAATGGCTTCTTCCATGTCAATGCCCCTGCGGCTGCGGCCAAGAAGCCTTCTGCGCTTCTTGAAACGGTGCTCAGCTCTGTAGACGGCATTGCTGAGCCGGGGACGGTGGTTAAGACACAGCCTCTGGTCATGTCAGATTTGGTCAGCACGCTCTCGTCGGGGTCATTTCAAACGTGAGTTTTCTGCAGGTGACGGGTTTCGCAATCAGACATGTGTCTAACACGCTTGAATACAGCTACGAAGGTTCCCTGACAACGCCTCCTTGCTCGGAGGGTGTCCGATGGCTTGTGTCTGATCAGAAGCTATCCATCCAGCCGGGTACTTTTATGAAGGCAAGGTCGGTTATTGGATTCAACTCTAGATTTCCCCAGAATATCCCAGGCCAAAGGAATATCCTGGCCGTCTCCTAGATGAAGAGCGGGATCAGATACGGGATGACCCCCAGGAACATGTGGAGGCGTTGAAGTTATGCAACCATTGTCATGTGGCGTAAACAGGGCGATTACGAGGAACCTAGAGCGTCAGAGGGGATTGTGCCTGAATTGTCTCTACCGAGGCCAAGTTGTCGCATTCCGCTTATAAGTCAAGAAACAGTAGATGGAGTTCCCAGCCTTCACCAACACCGCGGGCAGGAAAACCGTGAGCCCAAGTTAAAACAGTCAAACTCCAAGTGTCGCAGTATATAATTCCTAATGCCATCCTATTCCCGTTTTGTCTTGGCGTCCAAATTATTTGTCTCATGTCGGAGAACTCGGTGGATCACGCTGACGTGCCCACATGCCAAAAGGCTTGTCTGGGGAACCATGATCCATGCAATGTCTCAGCAGTATCTACGTACATACATAAGTTGAACTTATTGTCGCATACCAGCCAAGAAGGCTGCACCGGGTAAATGCGTTTCGAAAAGGGGGGTGACATCCCTTGTGGACAGCGCGCTTATGGCGGGCTGATGGTGGAAACAACGTCAATCACTTTCACCTTCGCTCCATCAAATCCGATATACTTGAGCGACATTGAAAAAAACTAGACGGCATCGTATCCGGCATCAAGGGAGAACACTGCGAGAGAAGTGATTCGAAAGTCAGTTTTGGATTCTCTTCTCACCACACAGCCTTGCACATAGTACAGGCAACGCACTACTAGCATGGGCTGCACCAGGAACATTGCGTCGATCAACTACTAAAGCAATCATGGCCAATCTGAAGATCGTTCGTCTCCCTGCTATCCTCTGGAATGTTGGATACTCTCGAAGCGGATCAGGAGACGGCTTCTGGCAACAGAAGTTACTCTTCATATGAGTCTCACCGTACTCGTCGGCAACGCAGTGACTGGAATGCGTTGCTCCTCACAACTCAAGCTTCAGGGGGAAAAAGAGATATATTCCTGGAAGCCATGAAGCCCAAACTCTTTATCGGAAACACCAGGCCAAAGGCTCCATTTACTTTCTATCGTAATCATCATTAATCTTGTAACACCTTTTATACTGTACTCTTTTTTTAAAAATTCGATTTTGCTCCAATGGTTCTGCCGGGGACCTTCCTCAAGCTGGGCCTCGGGCTCAATCCCCGTCGGGATCTTCGTTCCGGACAAGACGGCGCTCTCGTCCGCGTCGACAATGCCGCCGAAGGTGTTCCGTCGTACGCGACAAACATTGAACGTTTCCACTACACGGTGAAACGGGCGCGGAGCATCATTGAGGGCCGCGACGCCACCGTGGCCGTGTCCCAGTCGGAAATTCACAGCATTCTGACCAAGATTGAAGAACTGGACCGGCAGGTGAGGGCGCTGCTACCGAACGGGCCCGAACCTACCTCGCCCGTTCCTAGGTTGGGGCCCGGATCCCAGCCTGCTTCTGACAAGACGAACGGCGCGGGCGGTGCCAGAGACCAGGACTGCGATGCAGAGAACTTGATCTATGACCTGGGAGCGAGAGCCGTCGTGGATGCGGACGGGCATGTAAGTGGACACCCGTTATTCCGCAGAAATTCCAACTGCCCCATGGAATCCGCCGTCAATGGCAAGAATCCCGCCAACGCCGGCGGTTCGGGTGATTCTCCCAAGGGACCTGCTAAAAGCGGCACGGCTGCCAACGGAGGGGATCGCAAAGCAAGCCCAAACACCTCTCCTCCAACCGGCGATGCTTCCTCGGAGAACCACAAGTCCGGCCAACCCAAAGGGGCAGACACCTCGGCAGAAGAAAAGCAAAAGGCCAAGGCAGAGAGTGGCAAAGGAAGTGCCGCGCTTGACGTCCCCGGCGGCGACGCTCGCACCGCCTTGCCCCAGGTCGTGTCGGCCACGGTAGAAATGGTCGAGGTCAAGACTGTGCCCGTCAACGGGGCGTTGGTCATGACGACAGTCACCAGGACAACCACCAGGCTATCGACCGTCACAGTTGTACGACAGCACAAGGCCACGGGGTCTACGGCGGCAAAGCAGACGACGCCCGACGACACTGCCGCCGCGGTGAAAAACCCCCAAGACGGCACCGGCAAGGGCGTCGAGAAGCCAAAAGTTTCTCAGAATGTCCCCGTGGCTCCCAGCGCCGGCAGCTTCGCGCAGTTCTCCAACGACACCTCCAAGTTCTCGAATAGCACCGCGGCCAGCCATGCTTCTCAGGCGGGGGACCAAAAGACGGCGGACGTGGCTGTTGATGACAAGTCTTTCAACCACACGGCTGTCGACAAGACGCAAGGGCCTGGGCAAATCGGCAGCACGCCCGTCCAGGAAAGTGAAGGAGCAGGAAACGTCACAGCCCCTCAAGATGCGGTGAGCCTCGCTCCGGAAAAGTCTGCCAATCACACCGCCGCGCCGGACAAGGTCGTCGGTGCTCCTGGCCAGCAGCAGCCGGCGAATCTCACCGGGACTGGAGACTCGGGGGCAAAGGCCGCCAACACCACGGCGGATAAAGTCGACAACACGCCTAATCAGCAGTCGGCGAATCTCACCGAGACTGGAGACGCCGGAGAAAAGGCCGCCAACACCGCGGCGGATACAGTCGCCAACACGCCTAATCAGCAGCAGCCGGCGAATCTTACCGAGGCCGGAGGTCCCGGGAAGGAAACCTCCAACACCGCGGCGGATACAGTCGCCAACACGCCTAATCAGCAGCCGGCGAATCTCGCCGGGACCGAAGACGCCGGGGAAAAGGCCGCCGACACCGTGGCCGATGACACGTCCTTGAGCAGCGCATCTGGGCCGGATACAAACCCCGCTCCAGACTCCGGCAATCCAAACGGAAGGGTCAAGGTCATCACCGTCGTCCCTATCCCCGCCCAGTTGGGCGGCGCGTCGCCTGCCGCGGCCACTGCCGCCGGGGCCAACGAGGCTGTGCGCCGAGCGGAGACGGGCTTCATGACGGTGCGGGTGCCTGGGTCCAAGTAATGGATGTGTGAGACAGCAGGGCAGGGAGGAGGGAGGAGGGAGGAGGGAAGAATCAGGTTTTCAAGTTGGCAACACGGCATGAGGTCTACGCCGTGATTCGCACGCCTTCGTTTATTATTTTCCTTTGTCGGCCTTTTCTTGGGCTTCGGCAGGTACACGTGCTGTCGTGCCTTGTTTCTTTGGCTGGGATGATCGTGTTGGGCATGTATGATGATAATGGTGGAGAAGTTGGGACGGGCAGGGACTCTGGGCTCGGGCTTCGGCTTCAGATAGTAGTAGTACAACATCTCACGCAGATGGCGATAGTTGCTCATTCACCCTTTTTTTTTTGTCTTGGCTGCTTGACCACCTCTACACACGTGGCCAAGGTGGATGTTGTTGCGTAATGAGAACATTGAATGCAGGCAGCTCGAGCAGAGACGTGCAAGCAAGCCCTAACCCATGTAAGACGTCCGGCAGATGCGCTTTTGCCTGACCGGCGTGCAACATGACAAGGTGGCAGCAAGGGCGCCGGGTCCGATCTCGTCGTCTGTGGCCGGAACGATTCCGGCCAATGGGCCAACGAGAAGCCAGACACGGCGCAGATTGGGGCAGATTGGCGCCGGGCAGAGTCGGCATCATGTGGGGCAAAGCGCCTCGTACGGGCAAAGCGCCTTATCTCGCCCATTGTTTGGGGCCCCGAGCCTCCCCACAAATCCCATGGACGACGTACATGTATGGAGAAGCTGACTCCGTCACGTCCCAGGCGACGGCCAGTGCCATGGAGAGCATTGTAAAGCATGACCATCTACCCCGGATTTCGCAGCCTCGAATACACGCTGGACAGACACGTCCGCCGTCGCCGCGCCTGGCATCCGGCCGAGCGGCGGCAGCAATTAGGGCCAAAGCCGCCGACTTTGCTGTCCAGCGTCGACCATGCGTGGCCGTCGAGGCCCCGAGCCGCCGAGCTGTCTCGTCCGCATATCAGGCGTGCTCGCGCCGCGGCGGCAGCGTCCCGGCTTTGCTTGTGCATTTCTCTTACGTGGCGAATGCAAAGAGGATGATAGCCATCCTTCCAATGACGGGCCAGACTGAGGGTCTCGCCCTCCGATGTTGCTGCGCATCGTGACCCTATCCCCGCTTGTGAGGCCGGAATGCATTCCGGCCACGGGGTACTTAGGCGGCGCCGCGAGCCCGGACGTCGAGTTGCAATTCTGATTCTTTTCAATTCATCGCCCAGACGGCCTTGTATCGAGCTCGGCGTGCCCGCCATCAATTTTGTCCTATTTTTGCCATTTTACTTGGTCCCCGGCTTGCACACGTTGCCCTAGGCACCACTTACACCACTTACACGCCTTGATCACTTATACACACACACATACACACACACACACTACATCATCACACACACATAACACACTACACTATCACACACACATATCACACACACAACACACAACACGCGCACAATGGGTTCTATTGGCACCGCTCCCCCCTTCCGGGTCCTGGAAGACCCTCGTCCCCACGACAAGTCCCTCCCTGCCTTCATGGTGTCTACCACGCGAGGTTTCCTCCCTCGCCTGGACCCTGTTGTCACGCTGCCCAAGGAGTTTGAGCCCCTCGAGTCGCTGCTGCAGCGCATGCCCGTCAAGACGCTCTCCGGGGAGCCGGGTCTTCTCGCGTCCGGCAAGCTGGGCCCCGTTGTGGACAATGAGTTCCCCGACCTGACCGACGAGATGGACAAGTACAAGGACGACTTGCCCATGATGAATGCCCTGTACCGCGACTACTCCTTCCTGGCCTCTGCGTATCTGCTCGAGCCCTGCCACGAGCGCTTCGTCAGGGGCGAGGAGTACGGCCTCGGCAGACAGACTCTGCCCAAGAATATTGCACGGCCCATTGCCCGCTGTGCCGAAATGTAAGCCTCTTCCCGCCACGCTCGCAACACTCTGCCGCGTATATATACACACACACACATATGTGTACACCGTACTGACACGTGTCGCAGTGCCGGCTTCATGCCCTTCATGGAATACGCCGGCTCCTACGCCCTGTACAACTACCGCCTGGAAGACCCCAGCCAAGGCCTCGAGTACTCCAACCTCCGCCTCATCCGCGCCTTCGAGCACGGCCTGGACCCTACCTCGTCCGAGGCCGGCTTCGTCCTCGTCCACATCGACATGGTCAAGAACTCGGGCCCCCTCGTCGCCGGCACCGTCAAGTGCCTCGACGTCGGGACCAGCGTCACGACCCCCCTGGGCACCGCCCCCCAGCGCGCCGCCTTCAACGAGGGCCTGGCCGAGATCCTCGGGGCGCTGCAAAAGATCAACTCGGTCATGGAGACCATGTGGGGGAAGTCCCGTCCCACCGAGTACACCAGCTTCCGCACCTTCATCTTCGGCATCACGTCGCAGTCCATGTTCCCCCACGGCGTCGTCTACGAGGGCCTCAACGACGGCAAGCCCATGTCGTTCCGCGGCGAGAGCGGCGCCAACGACTCCATGGTGCCCCTGATGGACAACCTGCTGCAGGTGCCCATGCCCAACACGCCCCTGACCGACATCCTGCAGGACTTTCGCAAGTACAGGCCCAGCAACCACAAGGACTTTTTGCTGCACGTCAAGGAGGTCTCGGAGAGCCACGACCTGCGCGGCTTCGCGCTCGCTCTGAGGGCCAAGCCCACTACGGACGAGGAGAAGGACCTGGTGAGGGAGTCGCGCAGCTTGTGGCTGCAGATTCTCGACCAGGTGCGCGATTTCCGCTGGCGCCACTGGTGCTTTGCTAGGGAGTACATCCTGAAGAGGACGTCGCATCCTACTGCTACTGGCGGGAGCCCGATTGTGACGTGGCTGCCGAACCAGCTGGAGGCTGTGCTGGCGGAGATGGCGAACATTAATGAGATTGCGGGCAAGGATGATCCGAGGGGACTGGGCAAGACGTGCGAGGACGTCATGGACGCGGCGCTGCGGCAGAAGGAGACGCTGCGCAAGGAGGTGGACAAGTACTGCGCTGAGCGTGGCGTGTCGCGGAGCTGAGTCTGGTACGAAGTGTATGTGAAGAGAATGTTTGATAGTGCGAAAAGTACGTTGTAGTTGATTTGATTGAGATATTTTCTGCTCTGGCGTCTGCTGTGACTATCGCGTATCTATATGCCGAGTGTGTAGAAGGCATTCTTGCATCAGTTTTCCAACTCGTTTATTTGTGACCTTTTTTCCCATCATGACTCAAGCTTTAATAACTGTCCTTTTGGCTTTACATAGTCCGCATTTGTCTTAATGGTTTCTGAAATTCCTCAAACCGTGGCGGCGCTGTGCTCTCGCGGCTGACCAGATTCCCTTGCTCGCCGTGACCTTTACTTTTTATGATCAAGTTGTTTTTGTTTCCCTCTCAAGGCAAATGATAATACAAGCATGATACAAGTATCATATAAGCACAACATGTGGTAACACATTATTAGGCTGTACTAAGCCGAGAACAGTAAGAGACGAAAAAATAGACCGTCTGCGCATCATGACGCATCAGATTGACTCAACTAGCAAGAATGACGCAATGCAGGATACAAGGTTGACGCTAGACATGGTTCTAAGCTTAATTCGTCTTCACGTGGAAGCAGCTGGTCTCGAAAAATATAAGACGGCGCGAAGCCAATCTTGTCGACATGGAAAGGCAAACCAGTATTCCTTAGATGATACCTGGCCACGCGCTCTATGCCACAGTCAATGCATTACTGTATACTTGTCAATGGATCTGCTACATGCAGACAGCAGCTTTCGCATCCATCCAGCTACAATAAAGAACTTGGCCATCAATCTGCAGGTGCGCATCCCAATTCTGGCAAGCCACAGACTTGAAATTCTAAACATGTCAATATATCAAGGTTTTTCTAGCCCCCCTATCCCAATACTCGGGCAAGCGCGGCATCAAGCAGGCCCAATTGTACAAGCACAGTGTGTCTAGTCGTACCGAGGACAAAAAAACCGTCACATACCGGGCCAGAGTTGAGTGTATACGCGTCGCGATGCGTACATGCACGACTGGAAGCTAACGGATTCAGGATTCATGATTCATGATGCGCCAAAAATGAACTCTACACATGTGTCCGCCAGTCTTCACTCATCCCCGAGGACCTAAATATACAGATGGAGGGCCCAAAAGCGATGCCGCCCACGTTTGTGCCCAAAACACAGACGTCCAAGCAAACATGATCAAGTTCACGCTGCCCACGGCCCTCGGCCTCCTCAGCGCTCTCGCACCATGGCCTTCGACGGCCATCAACGGCGGCCAAATCGTCACCTACGGCACGTTCCCCTACATCGTCAGCATGCACCGGCAACACACACAGGTCGGGCAGGCAGTCCCGGTCGCCCCCGGCAAGACTCGCGACAGAGACCGCTGCACCGGCGTGCTCATCGCCAAAAACCTCGTCCTCACCGCCGCCATCTGCATCCCGTCCCAGAGGATCGGCCAGACCATGGTCACGCTCAACGCCACGGTGCAGAGACGCCCGAAAAAGTACGGCAACGTGGTGCAGCTCAAGGACTACTTCTTCCCCCACGAGTACCTCAAGGGGGACGGCGAGTACGACATTGCCATCTTCGAGGTCCAGGACACGCACAACGTGACCCAGTTCGCCAAGCTGCCCTCGAGGGGCCAGGTCCCGAGGGAGGGCGAGCTGGCCATGATCCTCGGCGCCGGCATGGTGCTGTGGTTTCCCATCCCGGACGTGCCCGTCAAGAACCTGACCGTGCCCGTCATCAGCCTCGAGAGCTGCAGGGCCCGCATGGCAGACGTCCAGATCGTCGGCACCGACAAATTCTGCACCAGGCAGTGCTACGACTCGGACTACTACGGCCTGTGCGAGGGCGATTGGGGCGGCCCGGTCCTGATCAACGACACCGTCGTCGGCATCATCGCCGAGTCGCCCACGTGTACCAAGAGGTATAGGCCGTGTTTTCCCGGCGTCATGACCCTCGTCGCCGAGCATCTCACCTTTATCGAGCAAATGATGTCCATCTATGCTGATTCCTTCATAAACGACGGCCACCTCTGGACCAAGAGACCCTTTTCCAAGACGGAAGGCGATCTCCGTTGGTGACTGGGTCATACGACTGCCTGGGTATGTACATGGACTGCCTTTTTTTTGCCTCTCTTCTCTATTCTGATGGCGGCGGCGAGTATCACGACGCTTCCATGTCTGTTCCAACTAAAAATACATGTCTATCCGAATTGAGTCATTTGCATGCAAACAGACCAAGGGCTCGACCTCATTGGCCCAGCCGCCACCGACATCAAGCAGCAGCAGCAGTCATGCTGGATAATGTTACACAATAGCAGACAATAGCAGAGGGCGGCGTGCACAGACGGGAGCTTGGGCTCCCCGGCTCGCATCGTTGCTACCAACAGACTTGAGGGCAGTATCACGACGCGGTCCGGCAGCACGCATCTCGCGGGCCGCACGCCGAATTTGAAAAGAAAAGAAGAGACGGGGGAGAAGAAGAAGAAGAAGAAGCAGGAGGAGAAAGCAGCCAGCCGATCCCTCCCGGCCACTGCGCCATGCCAAAATCCGTTCCCAGAGCGATCCGACGAACATGACAGCTACCAGCCGGGAAACATCACTGACAAGACCTCCATCCATCGCCTCGGCCATGTCTCGAGACTCTCCGTCCCGCACGCTCTCTGCACCGACGACGCTTCCTCAACATCCGCCCGCGTCCGCGTCCGCGTTGGCCGCCGCATCGCCTCCCTCGCTCGCCAAGCGAGACGGCACCTGCGGCGATGGCCGTCACAATTGTATGTAACTTGACGCCCCGAGTCCATCCCACCGTCCCCCCTCCTCGTCACCGCGCGCCCATGCTCATTGATCCCATCCAGGTCTCGACATCAACCAGCCCGACGCCTGCTGCGACAACCAGAGCTACTGCTTCGTCAACAAGTCCAACGAGGCCGGGTGCTGCGCCATCGGCTCCAACTGCCCCGACGACTCGCTCTGCAAAAGCGACTTCTACTACTGCACCACCACCCTGACCCTCAGCGGCGTCACGGCCGGCGGCAATTCCACCACCAAGGGGTGCTGCGGCAGGCAATGCCCCCAGACGAGCTACTACCTCTGCCCGTCGAGCCTCGGCGGGA